TAAATTTACTTGGTGTCAATCCTCTTGTAGTTTGTCAGAGACGTAAGAAACATGATGGTACAAGGTAGAAAAAATGGTGTTAAGATATGATTGTTCCAATCAAATCTTCAAGTGAGAGATTGCTGAAAAGTCAAGCAAAGGTGGCCAAACATGTTGAAAAATCAAGCAAAACATTTCGGTGCATATGGATTTCGATGGCTTTTGGTGGTGTGGAAAAATATAGCTGAAATTGTTGATTTTTCAACAATGGTAAAATCTTAATTTTAGTCATTTTACTTTAGGGTATTTATAAGATTAGTCCTTAAGCTTCAACTATAAATACCCTAGCTCATTTAGCTTCAAAATCATCCCAAATCATTATAGTTTTCTCCCAATACTAGAGAATTTAGAGAATTTATTGAGAGTTGTTTTCTCCTTGGTAGATCGAGAGATATTGTAATTCATATTTTCTTATAGTGAAATTATTCTACTATTGCCTGTGGGTTTTACCCTATATTATTTAGGGGTTTTCCACGTAAATTTTGTGTCTCTTTTATCTTCATTTTTATTTTCTCAAATTATCAGTTGCGATTTTATTCTATCCGATAGCCGTCTTCCGCAACATCTATTTCTACTTTCTTTCCGTTTCCTAATTCGAAATTCCAGTTAATTGATTTATTTTTAGATTATCTAGCTCAATAACTAACTATTGGGTTGGGTTCTAATCAATTTAATGGATCCAATATTAATAGATTTGGGCTACATTCCAATCAACCTTTTTTTTTATTGATTTGCGCTTTTTCCTACAAAACAACCCTTAATTCCAGAATTTAACCATTTTCCCTAATTTAAGTCATGAACTATTTTTTATTTATATTAGTTTTTGAATTCATTTAAAAAAAATATTTTATGTAATATTATATTATGAAATTGTTTGGCGTGCGCACAAGTATCGTATCCAAAGTAAATTTAGGACCAAATTAAAGAAATTACAAAATTCAAGGATTAAAAATTACTTTATTTTTTATCGTTATTATTCAATGTGTATTTGAGAAATACGGATATGACAATTCAACACAATAAAATAATATAAATATTAATATGATGCTGGCTAATGACTAGGGTGAACCTCAGAATAATTTTTTCAGTCTCATTTTTCAATTTATATTTCAAAAAACACATTTTAATTTTTCCCTTGCAAATTTATAACTTTTTATCAAATAAAATCAACCAATGAAAAAGCATTTTTTTTTATGTTTTATTTTTTTATACTTTTTATAATTTGTAATAATCTAAATATATTATTTATATTTATATTTTTAATTTTTTATTTAATTATTATTAATAATAATGGATATCAACATTAATAAAAAGAAACAATATATGTTCTCACTCAAAAAAAATATCTATTTTCGTGAGAACATATATTGTTTCTGTTTATATAATTCATATTTAATAATAATAATAAAATAATTGAGATCAATATTAATAAAAAGATAAAATAGTTTATATCAACTTAACGAAGTTGTTATTTTTTTTCAGTCAATTTAATTTAATAACAAATTAAAATTTCCAAGGGTAAAAAAGGTGAAAATAAATTAAAACTAACATTATTTTTATAAGAAAAACAAAGGTAAAACATGCCATCAATCTTTTTGCAGCCATTGCTACCTTTAATGATTAATAGATTTATTGTTATTTTTTGAGGTTTTGGGTTGAACATCGTATATGCATATGTATGACCCTTCATTGTCTTAAAAGTTTTGTACATATACTACTTTGTATTCACCTCAGATTTATAAAAAAATTATATTATATTTTTATAAAATTCAGTTTAATCTTATTTAAATTTATCATTAATTACTAATATGACATCTATAAAAATAAAATTATTTTTAGGCCCCCTACATTTATAATATTTATAAATTCAACTCTTAATAAATTGTAAATGTAGATGATTGAAAAAATATGTTTTTTTAACTACTAATATCAAATAGAAGTTAGATATGATCATAATTTGTTTAGCAACGTATAAACGAACGTAATTAAAATTTTGGTATTGGTGTGTGTTTTTAACACGGTTTAAAGTAGAAGGTAATATATGTTTAAAGAAAATTTTCAATTATTGAGTGCTCAGACTTTTAATATCAATAAAGTTCAAACCCAAAACTATAGTATTGATATTTTAAATAAATTTAACATACATAAGACATGTGGATTTAAACAAATTTACTTATGTTAACGGGAATCCTGTTTGATGGGTAGTTTGAACAAATTTACTTATGTTACCATATTTAGGCCTCTACCTCACATGTATATTTGAGTTTGTTTATATAAAAACCAATTAAAAAAGTGCAACTACTTTTTATTAAAAAATAATATTTTTTCGATGATAAATAGTGTATATATATATATTATTACCATTTATCTTATTCAACAAAAATAAAAATAAAAGAATAACAAAATTAACACTAAAAGAAAAAAAAATCTTATAAACATAAGATCAAAATATCCTATCCAAATATATATATATATGGTTCAATCATAATATGTAATCTTTTATTAATATTATATTTTTCATATATATATATATATATATATTTAATAGTCGGGTAATTATAAAATAATATATATTTATAATTAATATTAATAAAACATAAACACACGTTACAAACGTAGTTGTTCAAACCCAATACTTTTAGGAAGAACACATTCCCTTTTATTATTGATGTTACTTGGTAGATTGATATAATTATATATATTTTATTTTGTTGAGAGCGTCACCATCATATAATTAATTAATATAATTGGTTGTTGACAAAAAAATATATTATTATATATTTAATTGTAATCCATATTTTAAAAATAAAATTGAAGTACATACATTTTACATGAAAACTACATTCTTGTAGCCATCTTTATATAAATATATAATCAAACTAAATATAATACCAGGGAACCTTTTAGATCAAGGTTTCTAGAAATAACTTATAACTTAAACTAAACAATGGTCTTCAACGACCCCTGATTTTTGTAATGCCGGTATAAAATTGCGGCCGTTAAAGCGTATAATAATATGTTCGATCTAAATATATTTAAACTAAACTATATGTTTAGTATTTATACTTATTTTTATTTCATTTTGGTATTCAAACTTTTTTTTAAATAAACATAATATTTAATTTAGGTTTCATTTTGATACCCTACTGTTAAAAATTTAACGATGACATCGACGTGTCACTATAAGAAATGTTACATCATCATTGAAAAAATAAAAAATGTTATGTTAGTAGTTTTGATAAGTTTTTAATGACAATGTATCAAATTGAAATATAAACTAACCTTAGATATAATTTTAAAAAAAATAAAATTTAAATACCAAAACGGAAAAAATATTAGTTTAGGAACTAAACTTGTAGTTTACTTATATATTTATTGCATAAGCACAACAAAATGAAAAGGGCAATTATTAATATTTTTAATATTATATGATAATTGCATTTGATTTTTTTAATATACTAAACTACAAAGAGTATTCTAATCCTTTCATTTGAGTTCATATATTCTCCATATTTTTATGCATTAATCAATCAATTAATTTAAATAATCTATTTCGTAGATTGTTAGTTGAGTGTTTAAACCTCACAAATCATAAAATTGAAAATAATTATATTTAAGGTTATATTACTTTAAATTTAAAATATTAAATATTAGTATGTTTTAAATTTATTCGTTCAATATTTTAATTTTATTTTATATGTTTTCTAATACAATTAATTGTAACCAACAGAAGTTTGGTTGCGTTAGGTGAGTTCCGGTTGGTAAAGATTACGCAAGCCAATTTCCATATCTGAGGGCATATAATAGGGGCCTACCCACTATTTTAAAGCTTATAGTTATAGCTTCTAGAGCTTTTTGCTCATTAATATTCTTTAGGTAATTAGTGTTTTTTTTATAAAAATAAATAAATAATTATGACTTAATTGTATTGCGTGTTCATAAACTATGACTTTTATTTTAAATTAATCCTTAAATTTTTAAATATTTCAATTTCATCCTCAAATATAACTCTCGTTTGAAATTAATCCTTAAACTTATGAACATTCCAAATTCATCCCCAAATTATGTTACTCATTCAAAATTAATCCCGCAACTTTTAAATATTTTAATTTCATCAAAATATATAATTCGTTTAAGCCATAGCTTAACCTAATTTTTTCAAACATATAATAATATAGTATGGCCTAACTACTTTACTAGCATGAGATATGATTAGCATATACCTATAGTTTGAAATGAAATTTAAATATTCGAAAATTTGGAATTGATTTAAAATGAATGTCATGTTTTAAAGATGAAAATAAAATATTTAAAACTTTAAAGATTAATTTAAAATAAAAACCATAATTTAGGAAGTTGTTTGTTTCCCTCGCTGCTCACCGCCGTGTTTTCGGTGTTTGACCAATCTCTCAAATGTAATAATTTAATTAAACAACTTACTCGTCAAAACCAAACTCGGCTTAAAGTAAACCTTGCCCACTTGGCGGCGGCTTAAGCAAATTCACTTATTTCACAATTGAATAATAAATATAATAAAACAATCATTATCGTTCAAAGATATCAACATTCACATGGATATCTCTCAAATGTCACATTTCGTTATAAAGTTGTTAGAATCAACTAAAACATTATTTATTCGAAAAAGCATTATTCTAATGTTATAATGTTAAAGTGATTTTTAATAATTGATTGGAGTTTTTGCTTTTTAAAAATATTTTAATTATTAACATTTTAATTTTAGTTAATTATATCACATATTATTGGTTAATCAATTAATGTTTTTATCCCAAAAAACTATTTAATGAGGAAGTTGGGTGAATTTAATAAAAAAAAGGAGTTGATAGTTTAATTAAATGTTTAATTAAATCGATGATTTTTATATATATTATAAATATAGACGAGTAAAAAAATATGTGTATAAAATATAAAAATATTATCAAAAATCATTCTTTGACATAATGTTAAAGAATTTAAGTTTGCTTCGTTATACATAGTTTTGAATTACAAAAGGAAAAAGATGAGATGGTAATAATTTAACAAAATTGACCCTTACGAACTCAAAGCTCTAGAGAATTAGAATATCTAGACAACCCATTTGTATTTTCACAGTTCCTACAAATTTCACTTCTTTGAAAACCTAATTGCCAACACAAACAGACCGCCCCAGGCTTTGCCACCACCGTAGCTTCTCCGGCGAACCGGAACTCGTAGTAGCTATCCACTTTCCGTTTGGACTCGGCTGAGCTGGCCGAGTTCCCAATCGAGAGCTCCAAATTTAACTCGTGTTGTTCTTCTTCATCTGTACTCACGCCACTGCGAGTACAGTTGGACTCGGACTTGACCTTCACTCGACACTCACCGTAATTGAAAACCAGAGGCGGGGCTGTAACGGAAATGGTTTTGGGAACCGTGGGCGCGTTTCTAAAATCCAATTCGGTGGGTGTGGTGGGTTTGGCTTTAGCGGTGCTGTTTTTATTGGAGGTTTCGTTGAGAGGACGATGCGTTTGGGGATCGATTCCTTCACTCAAAAGCTTTCTTTTGATGTGTGTGTTCCAGTAGTTCTTGATCTCGTTATCTGTTCTTCCCGGCAATCTTCGGGAAATCAAAGACCATCTGCAAATAGAATAATGGATTCATTAATTCAAGAAGAAGATGCAAATATATTTTTACTAAAACAAGAAGAAGAAAAAAAACCAGACTTGTTTCCAAGTGAACTGTGAAGCTTGATGATAAGTTGATCTTCATCTTCACTGAAATTTCCTCTCTTAAGATCAGGTCTCAAGTAGTTCACCCATCTTAACCTGCAACTTTTACCACACCTAAGCAGCCCTGGAAGCATTGGACAAACCAAGGAAAAAGAAATGAAAAAGAAGTCCATGAAAATGGTTAATAAAAGGGAAAAGGGTTAGAATACCAGCAGCTTTGGGGAGGGAACGCCAAGAACCTTCGCCATGGACACGGATATAATGAATGAGGCGGTCGTCTTCTTCCTTGGTCCATGCGCCTTTGTTGGTATGTGATTTCTCGCAACAGGGTAATCGTCCCATGAAAATCAGGTGCTGCAACAACAACAAGTGGTGGGATTGAACTTGGTTAAGGGAAATGGATAAGTTGTGAGTTTAAATAAATATAGAATAGGTATGGTATGGGTGTTAATTTGAGAGTAATGTGGAAGATATTTTATTTGGGGGTTTGCTGATGGCGATGGGATTTGACCAAAGTTGGTAAGAAACCCCGGGTTAGTTCAAACATAGAGTGGGGTTTGGTAGGTAGGTACCGCTGCTTTTACGTCAGAATTCATGTTACCTTTACCCCCTTTTTCTTTTTCGGATTTCATTTTACACTAAATTCGGGAGTAGAACTCTATTGGATTTGGAATATCGAATTATTTTATTTATTTTGATTCATTTTATAATTTCATAAATTCAATTTAAATTTAAAAAATTATATTCAAGTTAAGTTATAAATTAAAATAAAAATAATTTTTAATTTTTAATAATTAATAGATTAATTTTTGAGTTGTATATCACTTATAAAAAATATATGTATATTGTATACGATTATAAAAAATCGTTTAAATTAGAATAAAATAACTCAATTAGAATCAATTCGAATTTAATTTTATAAATTTGACTCGACTAAAAAAAATTTAAATAAAATTTAATATATAAAATAAGACTCATCAACTTAAATAATTTAATTTAACTCTACTCAATAAAGTCATCACCGTAAACCAAACGGCCAAACCAGTCATTAATTCATTATCGGCAGCGTAATGGTAGACATAAGTTTGTCAATATCTTTTACAGTTTCTGTTGGCTCTTTGTTAATTATCTGATGCCTAATTCTTACCTGCAATCTTGTGTTGCCTTTATCTAGAACATTTTAATATTTCAAGTTTAAATGTCACACTTTTTTATCATAAAATTTATCATAAATTCAAAATTTAGTAACCATCTTTTACTTTTTTTTACCATCTCTAAAATTCTAACAAAATATTAGCATTTAAATATGTTTAAGAGTTAATAACATCACACATCCTTAAACTACAACCCTTATTCTAAATTAGTGCCTAAACTTTTAAATATTTTAATTTCATACTCAAACTATAACTCTTGTTCTAAATTAGTCCTCAAACTTTTAAATATTCCAATTTCATTCTCAAATTATGACTATCATTCTAATTGGTTCACAAACTTCTAAACATTTCAATTTCATCTCAAACCATCACACCTCCATAAAATCTTTAGGTGAAGCTCTATTTTTTTTGGTAAAGGGATTTTGTACGACTTATGCGAGAATAATCATACAAATCAACAACATTGAAGGACCTCTTTAAAAACCCCCAAACCATAAAATGAAGGGAAAATAGTGCACGGAACATTCGAACATATGAAACAACCACACAAACAAAAATAAGCCTCACAATACTCCACCCCTTGCACGAACGGGGCCTCGACAAACAAATCGAAAAAGCAGCCTGCTTAAGCAAATACAAAATCACACTCTTACAAGGAAACAATCCACGACCCAAAGCAACCATAGACAAAGCACAAAGGTTGGATCACCAAGAATCGGGCAGCCTTATGCAGCAGAGCAAGCGACCACAGCAGCTTGCCACCCACCCCAGCGACGCAGCAAAGGAACCATACAGCAGCAACATTCAAAAGCGGGAACTATCTGTCACTAACAGCATGGAAATTAGACTTCTGGCTCTTATCACTAAGTCCACAACGACATCCAGCAAACACAAAGAACAATCCCCGCCTACCCCGAAACTACAACACCCTTAAACCAAGAAGCAGGCAGCTCACGACACCACCACATAACAGAGACGGTTTTCAACACAAACAAATTCCAGTACCCAATAATAGAACAAAGCACCTCCCTCCACATTCTACAAATCTTAAAGCAAAAACTAAAGAAACCCAGATTCTTTATACACACCTTAATCAGGAAACTAGTCAATGAACCAAACAGTTCATACCTCTGCTCAGCCACACTCCAGAGCCAGCACCTATCTTCCCCCCCCCCCCCCCACCTTCTCGAGAATTTGGAAAAGTAGATAAAGGCACTCGGGCTCACGGACAGTCTAACACCGACTGACATGAACTCGACCATTTATAATTACACCACACACCAATGACCAAACTTTAAAATGGCTCCCTCGAACATCGAACTAATGTCCCAACATTTATCATTGAAAACTCCATTTCTGCCCAGCCAAATTGCCCAAACAAAGCTGAAGAACGCCAACAACCAGGGTTGCTTATACTGATTAGCTACCGGCAGATCCACCCACTCCAACAACATTGATTTCACATCCCAAGGAACGACAAAATTTAAATTCCAGCAGTTAAACCACTTCATCCATACTTTCCAAACAAGGCTGCAATGACAAAACAGATGGTTGACATATTCAAACTCTTCTCTGCACAATACGCACTGCAAAGAATCCGAAATCAAACCCCTTTTAGCAAGCTCGTCTTTCGTTCAGCGTTTGAGACTGCACCGCTTACTGATGTTATCCACGAAAACAATGAAACCACGACGGCGCCGATAGTCCTCTGCACTCCAGTTTCCTCTTCTCCAGCCCGACTGATAATCAACTGCACCCCGATAACCTCTTCTCCATCCCGGCTGATCATCCGCTGCACTCCGGTGCCCTCTTCTCCAGCCCGACTTTTCGTCTCCCATGGCCGACTCTCAATAAAGAGAATTATATTATTACAATTATTTTTAAAGACGTCAAGCTCTATTATTATATGTTTTTTTTGGAAAAAATCAGGTTAAATTATTATTGAAACTAATTATTTATTTAAATTAATATAAGGATGAAATTAAATATTTAAAAAATTGAGGATCAATTTAAAATAAAAATCATAGTTTAAAGATAAAATTAGAATATTGAAAAATTTAAAGATTAATTTAAAATAAGAATTATAATTAAAAGATAAAATTAAAAGTTTAAAAACCAAGTTAAAATAAATGTTATAATTTAAGAACACGTGAAACGGTTTGCCTTATATTTAACTAAGGGTGTTCAAACGGTTAATTCGGCACCGATCAAATCGAATTTTCATTAATCGAATTAACTAATTTTTTTTCTTTAACCTTTAACCGAACCAAACTTTTTTTTGGAAAATATTAATCGAGCCGAACAAAGTTCGGTTATTTCGTCCGGTTAACCGAATTAACCGAATTTTTTTATAATTTATTTAATTAGATTAATTTGAATATAATAACATTATTATTTTTATTTGGGTTAAAATTTTAATTAGGTATTGATAATTTAATGAGTTTAGTGTGGTTAAAAATAATTGAGTCTTAATTCTTAATGAGTTTGAACTTAAAATATGTATTTAATATATATAATATATATTTCATATTTAATAATTTCAGTTAATTCGGTTAATTAATTAATTTCAAACCGAATTAACCGTTAACCGAATATTAAAAAAATATTAACCGTTCCTCGATCGACCTAATTCGATAACCGACTGAATTAACTAAACTAATTTGATTTGATCGATTAATTCGGTTATAACCGAAAAATGAATACCCTATATTTAACCACGTATTCTCAAGTATATTATATTGTCAACAAAATCAATAAGATGAATTTTTTTTAAATGAGTTTACTTTCTTATTAGGCAAGTTACTCAAGTGGTCATAGAACTTTTAGAATACTTTTATTTTAGTCATCGGACTTTCTCATTGTTAATATTAACAAAATTATTATTTTAATCACTTAATAATTAAATCGCCTAACAATTCTGGCATAACTTTGACCAAATACTTTGATATGTTATCTTAACCTTAAAATTTTGTTATCACTTAAAAGATAACCCATTTTAAATAATTTCTTGTAAAGAAAGTTACTTTAACTCAACGGTCACTCAAATCTATCAAGTGATCTTATTGGTTAAAAAGAGTTATTTTTTTTAAAGATCATATATTCGAATAGGAGTTATTTTTTAAAGATCATATATTCGAACAGTTATATCTATAAGATATATAAAAATTATTAATAATTAAGTAAAATTCTAAATATATATTATATTATAAATACTCTAAACTATAAAAAAAAACTATCGGTTCCTCAATAAAAAGATACTGATTTTAATATGATTTAATTCAAAACCAAATGAATATCTCAAATTCTACATAGACCCCATTACCATTAAAGGAGTAAATCACACTTCTAAAAAAATATTTTTAGAACTTCGAATTTTTTTATTTTTGAATCTATAGAATTTTTAATTTTTTTCTACAAATTTTTAAATATATAATATAATATATTTTAAGGGTTTTTTTAGTTTCAAAGAACCCTTAAAATATCATCTATAAATTAATCAGAGAACTATTCGAAAAGAAATAAATACCTTGGGAGGCACTATATCACTTTAAACAAGGTTAAATGCTCGAATTATAAAGGTCGATCCCATAATGAGCCTCAATAAAACCTGATCTAGAATAGTCGATCCATAAATCGAATAGCGGTACATAAATAAAAAATAGCAGAAATTGTTAATTGTTATGATATAACGTTCTGTACACAGAACTAGAGAGAAACCTAAGTATAGGTTGGATTCAGCTCAATCCTGAAACAGTTTAAATCCCCCTAGATCTTGAGGCTAAAGCTATCACCCCTTAACTTTTCACATACAAAAAAAGCAGTTCACAGCTTGTGTGACCCGACATCTGCCGCCAACTCGCCAAATATAGACCCATTCTAAAAGGAAAAAATTGCAGCAGCATATCGACTCTTTGCACAAGCAAAAAAAGGCCTCTTAATTTGCCAAGGAATCTCAATTCAACATGTAATTACAAACTTCAGAGCATGTCAACTCGATCGATGACATCCAACGCCTTGATTCGGTCAATATCAAAGTTAATGAAAGGAACTAAAGATAGCCTCCGAATAGGGAAGGGATCTTTCTTAGTTTCAATTGTTGGAGAGTGGCTACTGCTTTTACTTAACCTAGTTTTTGCTGTGTCTAATTCCTGGCTCTTACTTATTCCAGGTGTATTTTTCCTCTTACTAACATCTCGAAGCATCTCTTGATCTTCGATCGT